ATTTCATTCCGAGAATACACAGATTTACCATCTGCTTTTTAACATTCCCTTGGTTTCCTTTTGACCTTTCCTAAAGAGACAACTTCATTGGTGAGTGGAGCTACTTTGCCTGTTCAGTCTTATGCATACATGTCTATGTGTGTATATTTTATATATATACACATGTATATATATATATATATATATACATGTTTTCCTTTCAAGGTTTGGTTAATATTTTATAGGTCAGGAAACAAATTATACTGGTCAAATAAGAACAGAGTAGAGTCCCGGGCTCAGTGTAACATAACATTTCCTCACATGTTGCTCATTACAATGGTGATGCAAGGTTATAGGTACAGCAGTGTCAAGGTCTGCCTGCATTTCAAACCCATTCCTCGTGGAGGATGCTATTATACTGCATCACTGGACTTGGTTTCCATGCAGGGGCGCTGTGGGGCTTGTCCAGATCAGTCGTCCTGCTGAAGCCTGAGGGCTCCCTGCTCAGCCTCACAGGTGTCCTTTCTTCAAGGAACTGTTCTCGGCCCGGTGGGATGTCGCCCCTCCTCCAGGGGGCTGCCATGGCCCATGGCTGAGTGACTGAGCACACAAAGGCTGGCCCCCTGGTCCCCAGGTGGGGCCGTGAGCTGATACGGTCCGTGCCCCAGAGCTCCGCAGGCGGCATCATGGGACATTAGCCCCAGTGGGGCACACATACCCTCACTTGGGTTCCTCCCCCCCCATCCCCTTGCTTCTCTGAGTCCCCTTCTCCTGAGGGCACTTCCCACAAGAATGTTTGTCCCAGGCCCTGTTTTAGGGATTCTTACCTAAGACAAAGCTATTATTTTCCCTGGTGGTTGCCACTTGGACACTCTGCAAGTGTGTGGTCCTTTGACTGTGGAGTGACTGTATAAGGAAATGTAAAGTTTTAGACAATGAAATTCAGCTGTTTTGCTAAATATTTGCTTAGAAAATAGGAGACCATTTAATATGCTGTGTCTTCTAAGTGGACACCAACTAAACACATTTAGTTAAAGATAGCTTTGGAAGCAAGGTATCTGGCAGTAAGTAGAAAAATGGAGTCCCTTGGAGAGACTTCCTTAATTGATGACATAGCCTCATGCAGCGAGCTATGTTAGCAATGCACGTGGACTCATTCCAGTCTGAAGTTTCAGTGAGATGCAGATTACCACAAGGAAACTCAGTACTCTCCTGAAACCAATCACGGTGAAGACGGAGGACATACATGGAATACAGTTAGTTGATGCACAGTGAAGCTGGGCCCCCACCCCTGACTCCACTGCCAAGGCCTGAGGATGGCAAGAGGGGGGTCTGCCCGGCAGAGGAAGTATGTCCATCTAACCAAGTACAGAGGATTGTCCTAGTCTAAGACTGGGCCTTGTGTCTGGCTGACTCAGAGGCTGGGGCATCTGGCGTTGGGGATGATGGGTGCACCTAACTGCCTACTTCTCTCATTCCTCCATGAAAGGTTGGGTTGGTCATCTTTGGCTTGCATAGGTGACTAAATTTTCTGGAAAGGCATAGTCTAAAGAGGTGCCATGAAGGGTAGCAGTGTTCTGGGGGCCAGGCGGGATTAGCAGGAGGCTGTCCACCGCACCTGCTTACCGGAGGGACCTGGCCGGTCAGGGAGGCACAGGCTCAGGTGTCAAGCCCAAGGAAAGGACAACAGGGGATGAGTTAGGGAGAGAAAGAGCTAAGGAAATTAGAACGAGGTAGGCAGAAAGAAGGCTAGGGGCCTGTCTACTTTTACGGGTCACTTACTTGGGTCAAATGTCTAGCCTTTCCAGCTTGAAGGCACAGGCAGCCAGGCAGGACATGAACGTCAGACCTTGTAGACCCAACCCGAGTGTCCACTCTAACTCAGAAACCCTAGGTAAGGAGGAGGCCAGATTCCTTTTGTTTTTAAACAATACCTATTAGCTAGAAGTGGCATAAATGAAATTTGGTTTTTCTTGGCCATCATTATACGACCTTTGGTTCTCAGTTGAAAGGAAAAAATGTGCTTTAATATGTTTTCTAAAATGTCATTGTAAGGGACTAATGGCGGGTGGTCCTTCCCTAGAACTTAGAATATGAAGGTGGCCTGCAGCTTGAAGGAAGCGGACCTTCAGGTGATTATGCAGAGAGGCAGGGCTAGGTGTGAAGGCAGGGTAGGTGTGAAGGCAGGGCTAGGTGTGAAGGCAGGGCTAGGTGTGAAGGCAGGGTAGGTGTGAAGGCAGGGTAGGTGTGAAGGCAGGGGCAAAAGGAGGGCTCCTCTGTCGCAGGTGGAAAAGCACTGTGCACTGCTCTGGGAGGGCAAGACATTTACCCGCCTCTCCTCCACCTCCCTCCTGTCCTCACCTCCTGCCTCCCCTGCTCCTTACCTCCCTCCTCACCTCCCTCCTCCCCTCTCTCCCTTTCCCTCCTGCCTCACAGCTTCTCTAATTCCTTCTTCTTTCCTAGGAGGACTTACTATTTGCTTTGCTTTGCTTTCACCTTTGAAAATAGAAGTGTGCTTTGCTGATTTGTTTCATCTAAGATAAAAAGGCAGCTACAATAGAAATTTAATGCTCATAAGGGAAAAGTATAGAGTAATTCTCTTTAGCACAGGGCATGTCTTTTGTGTGACTTCTTCAAAATCGTCTCTGTACCTGAGGTACACCTAGAACCCTCTTTAGTAATGACTGTGACATTCCTCACAGGTGAACTCACTTCTGTTGCTCGTTCTGAAAACACATGATCTGTTTGTCTTTTCACACTCCTCACAATGAGATTTAAAATAGGGACTCACTAGCACCTATTCAGAGGGTTATAAACAGCACTGCCTTGAAAAGGCCTTGCGGATATCTGCATGGAATTAGAAGTGACACATCAGATTCACAAGACTATTAAGCAGACAGAAAACAGAGGTGGAGGCCCAAGTGCCTAAGTACCCTGAGAGACCCCCTCCTGCCTTGAGGTGCTGGACTTCTAAGTAGTTGCTACACAGCATTACAGTGGAAATCCTTAGCTGTTACATGCAGGGTTCTTAAGTGTGGCTTGCTTAAAGGAAGAACATGAATTATAGTGATGGGAAAACAGAGTGTGAATAGATAATGGTTTTTGAAGATGAGGAGATGTTTTGAGGGTATGGTGGCAGCAGTGGTTGATGTTGCTCCCCATTTTGAATATCCCACCCCTTAACTGGGTCTTGGCTGAGGCTGAATAGAATTGCAGAACTGCCTTCTTGGCCATATTGGAAACTACTGATATGTCCAAGTTCAAGGATGACAGACATCAGCCTCCATGGAAAGAAACAAACACCCCAGTCTCATTTCAAAGACTAGCCAGTCATTCAGGAAGAGAAGATCTTTCAGAGGACCAGCACCTGACACAAGTTAAGCCATTCTTGACTCACAGGACAGCCATTCAATTGCAGGTCAGGGTCATCAGTTGAACGGTTACATTCTCACTGACCTTTACCCCCTGTTCCCAACCCTTTCGGCTAAAGCACCTAGACTGAGTCTCAACTCTTCTAACATGGTATTTTGACACATCACAAATCTTTCCCACACTGAACCCCCAGAGTTTCCTCATGGCTTTGTTTTGGCACACCACTCACTATTCTGGCCCCTGTCCTCTGGATGCCCATTTGCTTGCTCACATCCCTCATAAAATATGAAATGCAGGATCCTCAAGCCACATGCAAAACACTGCTGGGTAGATTAGAGATGAATTGCTTCTTGTTTTCTGGATATTATTTTTTCAATTATTTATACTGATTAAGTTAAAAAATTTTCTGTTAAACTAATTTGGCTTACCCTCTATATCTTTCTATGCCTCAGGAGAGTAATGGTTATTTTCTCCTTTAAAAATTACAGTGATGCCAACTGCAATGGGCTCCCTTGATTGACAGTCTTCTGGATGCTTGTACTTTTCCTCTGCCAGCTCATTAACCCATTCAAAACCCTGAGGGGCTATCCTCTCCACATACAAGGAAGACACAGGTTCAGAGAAGGACACAGGTTCAGAGAAGGTGAGTCCCTGGCACTAGGTCACACAGCAGCATGGGGCTCAGATCCAAGTCCTCTGACTACACACTCATGGTCTTTTTACTATCCTCCCTCATCTCATTTTATCTGGGAAGGGAAAAGGCTAATTATGTCATGGGAATAGCCAGGAACAAAATATGGGTCAGAGTTCTTCCCAGTCTGTGCATCATCAAACAGAAAGGTACCTCTTGGCCCGTTTGGGATGCCAGTGGCCTCACTATGTGACATTACAAAGCCATCAGCAGGAATACAACAATCACATTATTGGCATCAAAGCCAGGATGGACAGAGGCCAGTCTTGTGATCTTCAAGGTTTCCTCTGTTGTGGACACTGTGGCTTCTGGTTCTGATGCCCTTTCCTGGGAGTTGGGGTGTAATGGTGGCTGAAGTACTCTTTGCTCCCTGGTTCAGTGCCTCCCGGGGGTCCCCTCACCCCAGAATTATCTGTCTTACCATGTGCCTGTGTGGGTCACTCCCTGTAATTCACCCAGCAACAGTTTCCCACCCAGGCTACTCCAGAGAGACAGCACCATGCACAGGGTAGGGGGCATTGCAGGCGGCACTCAGATCCCCCTGCAGGACTGAAGCACCCAGTCCCCACCTGCCTTGGCTCAGTGGCTTCACACCGATCTTTCCCTGTTGTCTGCCTGTGGCTATAAAGAGATGCTCTGTTCCAGATCCTGCCCAACTCCGGGGCTGCCCATATGCAGTGAGGTGGCATGCGGGTACCAAGTCCCAGACCTCTGGCCCTAGTGCAGGATGATGGTGGTGGAGGACTTCAGGGCTCCCGGGGGATCAGCTGAAGTCTTTGTTCCATCCACCGAGCTCCCCCTGGTCCAGTCCAACCCCTTTCCTTCCCATAGACCCTCCTGAACAGTCCTCTGCAGGTGAATCTCTGAGGCTCAAGCCTGTGGGGCCTGGAGCTGCCACACCCTTACCGTGACTTTGCAGGGGTGCTGGGACCTGAAGGAAGGGCAGGGAAGGCCTTACCCACAATCATGTGGTTGCAGACGTCACAGAAAGTGGGCTTCTTGAAGATGTACTCCTGAAAGGCATGGGCCTTGCCACCGGGGTGAGGGCCAGCCTTGGTGGGTGTGGGTGCCGGGCTCCCAGGGGACTCAGCCAATGAGGGCAGCTTTCCATCGCTGTTGGCTGGCTGGAAGAAGTTGTCAGCACTTTTGCTCCGTAAACTCTTGGTCTTGAAAGAAAGTGATCGTTTTAGTTTCTGGAGCTGCAATGCAATGACAGAACAGACTCTCTTACCATCGAGCCTGCAGACTATGCTGGGGGGTGAGGTCTGCTCCTCGCTGGCCCCCTGTGCCCGCAGCCCCAAGGAACTCTCACCCGGCCTGTGCGGGTGGTGACCAGGGCCCAGGAGGCATTTGGCGGCCCTGCGCCTGACCCCAGGCTAAGCCAGACCACAGTAGGACACTCCTGGTGGCTTTTGCTTCCACCCCTGCTCCTCATACCCCCTCTGCCCTCAGGGTCCTACCAGTGTGCTGTCCAGATGGCCCACCACACTGGGGTTTTGATACCATTTGCCTCATGAATTTGAATCACTGGAAATATAAAGTGTAAGATCTTCTGGGCTCAGAGGCTGGGTCTGTAATATGGGGCCCCTGCTGGCCTTTGTCTTATGGACACTTAGCAGCAGACACTTGTTTCTACACAGCAGAGCCACGTCTGAGCCAGAATCAATCTGGTTGAATTACCCACAGAACACAAACCAGAAACTCTCAAGCCTGCTTGGGTCTGAAGGTGGAATTACCTGTTTGATTTCTGTGCTCTTCCCCTGGCCGTGCCACTTATGTCTGGTCAACTAGATAATTTCTCATTTGCCTTTGGGACTCAAGAAGAGGCACCCAAATAGGTTTGGAAAAGCATTAACTCTGAGAGGTCTCTGGGTATGGTCCAGTCCACACTGCCAACTCAGCCTTCACATTGAATCTAGAAGAATCTTTTGGCAACACAGAAAGGAGTGTGAACCTGTTGTTTAAAATCCTTCGTGGAATCTCATTTGTTCTTAAAGGTAAAGAGCTCCATGTCCCGGGTCCCGGGATGGGCACGGGCAGAGTCTGGGTGCTTCCTGCCCACCTTGCTCTGTCCATCCCAGCCCCAGTGGCCTTCTGAGTCCAGTATGTGCTATGCTTTTTCATCACCAGCGCTTAGTACATAGTTTCCCCTCAGTCCAGTAAGACATATGAACCACTTAGAAGCTGCATGACCTCAGCAGGCCACTTCAGCTTTAAGATAGTTTCCTTTGTAGGGGACTTCCCATGAGGCTTTGCTGTTGCCTGAATTAATGTCTGTGGCCCAACACTGCAGACACAGTGGTCCTAAGCACACTGTCCTAATAGAGGCCTCCATCAGGGGTGGTCAAACACTCCTCCAGGACACATGAATTCATCAGGAGCACGTGGTGGTCTTTAGTACTTGGGGGGGAGACTGCAGAAGTGGTTCACTTTTCTAGCTGTTCCCCTTTCCTACCCCACTTTGCAATGTGACTACATCTCAAAGGTGGAGTAGGTTTCCCCACTCTTGAATTGTGTTGGTTTTGGGAATTTGACAGACAGAAGGTGGCAGAAGCAACTTTAAGCCAGTTCCAAGCCCAGTCCTCAAGATGCATGCTTCTGTCCTCCCTCTTAGAAACCTGCCAGACCCCCAAAGCAGAGCCCCCCTGCTTTCCTGCCTGGAATCAAGGGGTCTGGGTGAGAGAGAAAACTGTTCAGCTGAGTCCCACTCTAATTGCCAATGCACAAAATCATTGCCTGGTGTTTTAATCTGTTAAGGTGGGTACACTTTCTGGCATGGGGTGGGGTTATGCTTCTTTGCCCACGTGAAGTTGGCTGTGGCTGTGTGAAGCCAGCTCTCCCCACAGGGAGCCAGACCTTGCAGGATCCCTAGCGAAGCCCCCTACAAGGGCAGATATCAGCTAGAGAGGGCTGGCAGGGGGCAGCAGCTCCCATTCGACAGGAAGGTCAGAAGGAGTGGCCAGCCAAGCCTTTTGCTTCTTTCCCTCTGGCCTGAAGCCCAGACCCCCCAGAGGGGCTGGAACTGCCGAAAGAGGAGGCAGAAGGAAGCACACCTGAGTTACTCTGGGGCTGTTTGTCACTGCCCACAGCCCACACATCCTGACGGATAGAGGAGAGCAGGCTCATGAAGTCTTGGGAGCATGGTATTTATTTTGAAGAGGACCCTTCATCTCCAGCGAAGCTAAGAGAGAGGCTATGAAACATGGCTCGCTGAGACTGGGCTGCACCCAGGCAGAACCTGGAAGCAGGGAACAAGCAGAACAGCCCTCCCACTGCCAACTGGGCTGGAGGTGGAGGAAGGGAGACTTAAACAGGAAGTGAGATTGGAGTTTCTTTCAGATGGGTTTTATTAAATTAAAGTGACCAGGAAGGTAAGGACTCTTCCAAGATTTTGTCATGGGCTGTGCAACCCAGGGGGAGGGAGGTTTATCCAAGCAAATACCATCACATAAAAAGTAAAGTCCTTTTCTGTACCCCTCTACCCCCAACAGAGTTCAGATGGTGCAATAAATTGGCTATGCTCATGTCAAAAATATGATAAACACCTTCCCTGGGTATACGAGGGCACTGCCGTAGAGGGCACAGGATGACTTCGAGGGGGCTGTGAATTGTGCAATGGGAGGAGGAGTCCTAGGGGGCAGGGGAGGGGGCCGGAGCAGGGTCTGGGCCGAGGCTTCACCACACCATCTGTCCTCATTTGCTCCGAGACTACTCAGTGAAGACATTGGTCTTTCACCTCTGCAAAAATGGAGGCCAGGAGAGGGTGAGGTGCTTGCCAAGGTCACACGGCTTATGTAAGTCAAGACCAGAGTTCAAGGTTAAATCTGCCTTCCTCTAACCCCGACGCTCTTCCCACAGTAGTGAGCTGGCAGGGGATGGGTGGGGGGAGGAGGAGGGAGGCTTCTCACCCCCCCACCCCAGGGATGGACCCACTCCTGGCTGGCATTGAGTGGGGTGTGGGGAGGGATGTGGAATGGGAAAAAGCCTCTACATCCTTGGGAGCGATTTCCTTTATTTTATATATTTAGAATATCTTAGAAGTCATAAAGGCGCCTGCCTGGTTGTCAGAGGGGGACATCAGGCATTTGTGGTGCAGCCTTCTGCAGAAGGACAGGGAACGCACTGGGGCGGTGTCTGCCGGGTAGTCTGGCCCCACTCCTGTGCTCACATGTGTCAGTAGCCCCTTCAGACCCTCTGCCGTGGGTATTCTGTGCTCCCTGGAAGTTCAGTATGCTGTCAAGAAACCTGTGGCATTTTACTTGTCTTGTGGGCTGTGGCTGGAAATTGTATCAGCCCTTGGGAGCCTGCCTGCCTGCAAAGCAGAGAATTTGCATTGGAGGCCAATGTGACGTTTCCTATTCAAGTGGCCAGTGTAAAAGAAATGCTGCAGGCCAAACAAAGTCTGAGCAGTGAGCCTGAAGGAGCGTGCTTTCTCCAATTATCCCTAAGGACCAGAGGCCAGAAAGGAACACAGGAGATGCAGAAACAGAAGCAAACATTAATATTGGCACATGTAGCAACGTGGTTTGTTTTCACACCCCCTCAGCCAGGCTCCACTCTTTTGCAATGACAATGGTGGAAGGAGCAGATACTCTGGAATGCGACAAACTGCTCTGTGGACTTTACTTCCTGACACCACTGAAAAACCGTGGGTGAGAGGTCACTCACCCATTTATAAAATAATTCATTCCATGAAGATTTATTGTGCCACTGCTGTGAGCCAGGTATAGCTCCTGGTTTTTGGGATTTAGCAGTGAAAAAAGGAAAATCCTTCCCTTGGAGGTGATAAAGCTTAGGTGGCGAGACAGAAACTAAATAAATAATCAAAAGTGTATAATATGAATTTGGGTAGGGATAAGGGCTACAATGGCAATGAAAGCAGAGCCAGGCTCTGGGAGGTGACAGGGAAGGCTGACCTGACAGGTGACATGGGAGCAAGGACATGAAGGGAGTAGGGGTGTGAGCCACTCTGGGGAAGAGGATTTGGGCAGTGAGCAAACCAGGGGCAAAAGTCCCAACAGGAGCACAAGGTGGGTGTGCCTGCAGAACCCCAGGGGTCAGGGTGCCTGCAGCAGAGCGGTGAGTGCCGCAGAGGCAGAGAGGCTAAGGGCCGGCTTGGAGCCGAGCCTTGTGAGTCACAGCAAGGACTTGGGAATTCATCCTACGGGTGATGGCTTGAACAGGGAGGTGATAAGGTCTGCGTTTTATTTTAAAGCATCATTCCAGCTGCTGTGGGACTGGCTGCAGGAGAGCAAGATGGGGCAGGGATACCAGCTGGGAGACTCTCACAGTCGTCCTGGTGAGAAGCAGCTGGCTTGACCTCCTGCAGTTATGGTAAGACACGGCTGGACTGGGGGCACATTCTGGAGGTAGAACCAATTGGGCTTACTGAGGGACTGGACATAGAGTATGAAGGAAACAGGGGAACCCAGAGGGCTTTAAGGTTTCTGACTCGAGCAATTGGGAGAATGGAGGTCCATCCACTGAAAAGGAGAAGCAAGTTGGTGTCAGGACATGCAGAGGGGATCAGGACTGAATTTCGGATAAGCTACGTTTGACATGTTCATTTGGAATTCAAGCGGAGCCACCAAGTAGGCACCCGGACACGATTCTGGGATGCAGGCAACAGGGCTAAGCTGGAGATGCCTTTGGGAGCCATCACCAGGACGGTGGATGGGGTCTGAGGACAGAGACCTGCAGCACTCCAATGTTTAGAGGTCAAGATTAAGAGGGACGGGGGGCTCTGCAAAGGAGAAGCGGGTGAAGAAAGAGGATGAAAGAGGGGTGTTTCAGCAGCCCGGGAACGAAACGATTCAAGGAGGAGGGCATGGGATGAAGCCACAAGTGAAACTGGAGCGTCCGGCAGTGTGAGGTTCGGGGTTGGCTGGGGAAGATCTTCGGGAATGTCAACAGTACAGGTTCTGTGAAGCTGTGGGGTGAAAACCTAACTGACACAATTTCCAGAAAACATGGCTGGAGAGCAAGTGGGCAAAGGGGAGGGAGAGGAGGAGATGGGGAAGTTGGAAGCCCAACAAGATGTGGAGCAGCCCTTACGACAGAGGGACGAAGAGGACAGAGTGACATGCAGTGGAAGGAGCAGTCAGCAGGCTGTCGCCCCGTTTTACAGAGGAGACACGCTAAACCCACATTGAGTAGCTAGGAAATGCAGACTGGAGATCACACACAGGTCTCTCTCACC